AAAAAAAAAATTAAAAAATAAATAAATAAATAAACAAAAAAATTAGCCGGGCACAGTGGCTCACGTCTGTAATCCCAGCACTTTGGGAGGCCAAGGTGGGCAGATCACGAGGTCAGAAGATGGAGACCATCTTGGCCAACGTGGTGAAACCCTCCTGTCTCTACTAAAAATACAAAAATAAGCTGGCATGTTGGTGCACGCCTGTAGTCCCAGCTACTCAGGAGGCTGAGGCAGGAGAATCACTTGAACCCGGGAGGTGGAGGCTGCAATGACCTGAGATTGTGCCACCGCACTTCAGCCCGAGAAAGAGAGTGAGACTCCATCTCAAAAATAAAAATAAAAATAAATTTACTAGGAAAAAAATCAGACACACCGTGGCCAGGCATGGTGGCTCACGCCTATAATCCCAGCCCTTTGGAAGGCCACATCCAGAGGATCACTTGAGCCCAGGAGTTCAAGACTAGCCTAGGCAACATACTGAGATCCTGCCTCTACAAAAAATTTTTAAACACAGGAAGTTATTCGGTTTTTGGGTTTTTTTTTAATTTAAGCTTCTTTAATGTTGATGAAAGGTATTTGTAGTTCATATAAACCATACTTATGTGAAGGATAGCAGATGCTTCATATAATCACTTTGATATACATATCTTATGGCTTATGAGAAAAGAGAAAAAATAATACATCGTTTTTGCTGCATTGTATTGGGTTTTTTTAAGGGACTGTTTTTTAGGTCTTGTCAGCAACATCAAACAAAAGGTACTGAGTACCCCACAGGGTACAGAGTGCTGCCAAGCACCTTAGAAAAATTACATGACATGGAGAAAATGCGCTTCTTGCTCCTTGAAGAGCTTACAGTCTAGGGATTTGACAACTCACAGTCTTAAGAACTGAGTGAACAAGGTAAGGCAAATTCTTCATCCCCTAGAGCTATTGTGGACTGAATCATTTTAGGATTCAGTTCAAGACAAGCCTAGGCAACATATTGAGACCCTGCCTCTACAAAAAAAAATTTTTTTTTTTTTTGAGACGGAGTTTCGCTCTCGTTACCCAGGCTGGAAGTGCAATGGCACAATCTCGGCTCACCGCAACCTCCGCCTCCTGGGTTCAGGCAATTCTCCTGCCTCAGCCTCCTGAGTAGCTGGGATTACAGGCACGCGCCACCATGCTCAGCTAATTTTCTGTAGTTTTAGTACAGACGGGGTTTCACCATGCTGACCAGGATGGTCTTGATCTCTTGACCTCGTGATCCACCCGCCTCGGCCTCCCAAAGTGCTAGGATTACAGGCATGAGCCACCGCGCCCGGCCCAAAAAATTTTTAAACGCAGGAAGTTATTCGGCCTCCCAAAGTGCTGGGATTCCAGCTGTGGTGGTGTGTGCCTGTGGCAGGCACCAATGAGAGGCTGAGGCAGGAGGATCTCCTGAGTTCAGGAGGTCGAGGCCACAGAGGGAGCCATGACTGCACCACTGTACTCCAGCCTGGACTCCAGACAAAGCAAGACCCTGTCTCCAAAAAAAAAATATATATATAAATATATATATATCTATATCTATCTATCTATCTATCTACATATATATATATATATATATATATATATATCAGACACACTTTCTGTGTCAGCCTCAGTTAAAGCTGTGGGTCTTATCCTTTACTATGAGCACTCCTTGTAGAGAGCTTTAAGGGACACGGGTGACTGCAGTAACTTGATGGACTCACATTGTTTCCAATAGGTCTTTTTAGGCTAATGTTTTTAAGAGAGCATCAGATTACAGAACTTCAAGGGGGAAAGGCCTAAAAATATTTTTACCTGGAATCACTAGGCTCACATGAATTATTCCCTAAAACAGGTCTCTGGCACGGACTCCTTGAAAATGCTATTCTGAAGGATAATCTGTCAACCTCATAAGCATTCCAAGGAAAACACTACTGTGTAGAAGAAATATTTAATGCACAGAGAAAACAAAGCCAAGGCCAGGTGCAGTGGCTCATACCTGCAATCCCTGCACTTTGGGAGGCCGAGGCAGGAAGATCACCTGAGGTCAGGAGTTTGGAGACCAACCTTGCCAACATAGTGAAACACCGTCTCTACTAAAAATATAAAACTTAGCCAGGCATGGTAGCAGGCACCTGTAATCCCAGTTACGAGGCTGAGGCAGGAGAATTGCTTGAACCCAGGAGGGAGAGATTGCAGTGAGCCAAGATCACGCCACTCCGCCCTGGGTGACAGAGTGAGACGCCATCTCAAAAAAAA